CGCCTCCCCGCTCGGCGGCCTCTCCGCGAAAACGCCGGGCCCGGCGCGAACAATGAAGCCCCGAGACAAGATGGCGGCGAGCCGGGAGCCCAGGAGCAGCCAGCGAAGTGACCCGGGCCGCGCAGGCGCAGACTAGCCTTGCACTCTCAACCTCCCGGCCGCTGAGGCTAGCCCTCAACCCATAGGTTCACTTGTTGCGCAGCCGCTCTTCCACCCGACGTCGGGAGGGCTCCGACTGCGCAGGCGCAGAGGTTGACCGGCTCAGGGCTCCGCTGGACTTTTTTGTCTTCTGGCTCTGGGTGTGAATGTTTCGATGTGAATTACGATGAACTGGAGATCTGCAAGGACATGAAAAAATCCTATCTTTTTATGGGGGGAATATTCATCAAGAGTCTTCAAGTTACCCTGTTTTCAGGGGGCGAAAAGCAAAAGGGAAATGCGCCGCCCGGGAATCGAACCCGGGTCGCAAGAATGGGAATCTTGCATGATACCACTACACCAGCGGCGCTTATGCGCTAACGGGCCACCGAAATATTCTAGGAGCAAAGGCAAGCAGGCATTCGTCATAAGAAGAGGATTCCTGTATTTTTCATTTACTCATTCAAAAAATAAAAGCTTATTGACAGTCTGTAACCTATTTTTCATTGATATAGGAAATCATTTATCTTTTATCTCAATAGTTGGATGTTTCTACTTTTTTTGGTACAGAAAAATCTCAATTATAATTTTTTACTTTAAAAAGTAAGGGTTTTAGCCGGGCTCGGAGGCTCAGCCGGTAATCCCAGCGCTTTGGGAGGCCGAGGTGAGTGTATTGCCTGAGTCTGTGGGTTCGAGACCCGTCTGGGCAATTTGATGAAACCTCATCTCTACAATAGAATCAAAAAATGAGCCGTGCGTGGTGGCGCGCGCCTGTAGTTCCAGCTACTTGAAAGGCTGAGGCAGAAGGATCGCCGGAGCCCAGCAGGTCGAGGCTGCGGTCGGGAGTGCGCCACCACACTCCAGTCTGGGCGACAGAGTGAGATTCAAACTCAAAAAAAAAAAAAAAAAAAAGAAAAACAAAAAGTTATTTAAGGCAAATTGATTACAAGAATCTTAAATAAGTTGGAAAATACATAAACTTCAGTTCTCTTTTAGGGAACAGAGAAATTAGGGCTCTGATTTTTGGTTCAATGTACTGATTACGCATTTCATCGCATTTTACAAGTTACAGAAATATTTTCTCTTTTATTATTATAACATTATTTTATTTTAGTTTATTTTTTCTTTTTATTTCATTTTATTTTTTTGAGTCGGACTCTCACTCTGCATGCCGGCCACCGCAGCCTCGACCTGCTGAGCTCAGGCGATCCTTCCGCCTCAGCCTTCCAAGTAGCCAGAACTACAAGTGCGCGCCACCACACCCGGCTCAGTTTTTTGATTTATTGTAGAGATGAGGCCTCGCCAAGCTGCCCGGGCTGGTCTCGCACCCGCGGGCTCCCAAAGTGCTGGGAATACAGGCTGAGTCACCGACCCCGGTGCCAATCAGGGTCCACTTATTAGTGAGAATTATTATTATTATTATTATTATTATCATCATCATCATTTGAGTGGGAGTCTCATTCTGTTGCCCAGGCTGGAGCGCAGTGGCACGCTCATGGCCACCACAGCCTCAATCTGCTGAGTTCAGGCAGTTCTTCCATTTCAGTCTTCCAAGTAGCTGGGACCACAGGTGCACACCACCACGGCCGCTAATTTTTTGATTTACTGTAGAGACAGGCTCTGCCATGTTCAGGTTGGTCTCGAACCCCTGGGCTCAGGCAATCCTCTCTCCTCCACCTCCCAAAGTGAGCCACTATGGCCAGTTGAAAATACTGTTTTTTAAACAGGCGAATTTACACATTCAAAGGAGTTTCTTCAGACCGATACATTTTGTATGTTTGTTTTTTGGAATTGTCTTTAGAGTCTGTGACATATTCTTCAGATTGTATTCACCGATATCAAATAATAGTCCTTTGAGGATGAATAAGACATATTAATAGTGGATAGCATTTTAAAAACACCTTTTTGAGACACCCATATCAAAGTGTTTTTTGTTTATTTCTTAGTTTATTTGCAGAAGTGTGCAACAATCGCCACAATCAATTAAAAAATATTTTCATTCACCCCCAAAAAGGAATCCCTTGCCAATTAGCAGTCATTCCTTGTTCCCCATCCACCCCACTTCTCAGCCCACTGTCTGTCTGTCCCTAGAGATTTGCCTGTTCTGGACATTTCATATAAATGGAAGGTCAATGTATGATCCCTTGTGACTGGTTTCTTTCATTTAGCATTATGCTTTCAAGGTTCATGCATGTGGTGGCATGTGTCCTAGTACACACACCTTTATAAATTCTTTTGTGTCTGCAGGACAGATTCTTAAATATGGAATTACTGAATTAAATGGCGCGCATATCATCTTAAAAGGTAGAAGTGATAGTCATTCACATCCTCACCAACCATGTTTGAAAGTCGGTTCTTGAGCCCTTCCCCACCCAGTTCCATTTTATCCTATACTAAGATGTTACTGTGATGATGATGATGATGATGATGCCAGTATTAGCTGGGCATGGTGGTACCTGCCTCTAGTCCCAGCCTCTCTGGAGGCTGATGGAGGAGGATCTAAACATCCTATTTAAAATTGCAACTCATCCCCCATTCTTCTTGCCCCACTCTATATATTATATCATTTACTTATTTGTTCTTATGATCATTTGTCTCTCTGCACAAGAATGTCAACTTCATTGAAGTACGGTTTTTTTTGAGTCGGAGTCTCTGCCGCCAGGCTGGAGAGCAGGAGCGCTCTGCTCACGGACACTGCAGCCTCGACCTGCTGGGTTCAGGCGATCCTTCCGCCTCAGCTTTCCAAGTGTCTGGAATCACCGGCGTGCGCCACCACGCCCGGCTAATTTCTGATTTATTGTATCGACGAGGTGTCACCACGATGCCCAGGCTGGCCTAGAACCCCTGGGCTCAGGCAATCCTCTCGCCTCTGCCTCCCAAAGTGCTGGGATTACAGACGTGAGCCACCGCGCCCAGTTACCTTTGCCCTTTGAAATTTATGTCCTGTTAGGCGAATGGGAAAGAGCAGAGAGCTTTCCGTGTCTCCACATCTTTTCAATTGCCTTCAACTCCTTACTCCCAAAATGCATATTTTGGAGCGGTACATTCTGGTCTCCTTACACGTCCATCACTGCCGTTCCACTCCCTCCGCTTCACACCACTCCATCCCCAGACTCCCTGGTTTTCCTGTCCACCCAGCGCCATTTACCGTTACCCTCTCGGTCTCCTTCTGACCTGAGGGCATTCTCTGAGAGGGAGCGGCTGCGAGGACGCAAGAGGGCGCTCACGAGAGGCGAAGGCGCTTCGTCGGAACAGGTGGGGGCTGAGCCGCGGCCTGCGTCCTCGGTGTCCCCTGAAGGATGTGGGCTTCCGAGAGGCGGGTGGGTCGGCGGTGCGGCGGCTGGGGGTGAAGAGCCCCGGGAGAGCGGGGTGGAGCGGAGGCGCGCGGAGCCCGG